AGTTTGATAGCAAAAGTAATTCATCATCAGTCCACTCAGCGTACAATGAGTTCTCTTTCCTCAACCCCATTCTGAAGTGTAGGGGGGGAAATAAAATAAGGGACTGCAAGCAGATGATCTTCTGACAAATAGGTAATTTCACAACAGTTCATTAGCATCCACTGTGTCTGGCATGGGTCTGACAGCATTTGAGGAGTCGCTGTGAGCCTGATCCAGAGGAATGCTGAACACATCTCGGGGCACTGAGCACCTCTGAGGTGAGGGCGTTGTATCAACAGGATGGATGCTAGAGCACTGCTGGTATAATCCTTCTATAAACTCACAAACATGCAAGCAAGGGACGTGGACCATCTTAGGCCCATTCAGGTTCTGATGTTACATATCATCTTTAGAACACCCAACTGATTTTGCCTGCAAAGTGGGCCTGCATCCCATTTTCCACATGCAGCTCCAACAGCCAGCCATTGTCCTGCATGTGCAAAAGTGGGCACCCAAAATCAGAAGCTGACTTGAGGTCAGCTGAAAATTTGATCCCTGTCTTATCTTCACTCAAAGAAAGTAATTCCTTTCACTTATTTTTTTCCATTGCAGAGCCAAGATGCCATGATAAAGAACATCTTATAAACATCTTAGATAAAAAGGCCCAACTTCAGCTATTAGTTTCACTGATGTAAGTATATCTCAGGTTCTTCTATAGCTCCCAATTACCACAATCCTTAATGTATTTATCTACACAACACCCTGTGAGGTAGAGAAGTACTATTTTCTCCATTTTACAGATGGAGAATTGAGCCAGGGAAAGACCAAGTGACTTGGCCAAGGTCACATAGGAAGTTTGTGGCACAGCAGGAACTTGACCCCTGGCTTTCTAAGCCCAAGGCTACCACCCTAATCAATGGACCATTCCTTCTTTCTTCAAGAGTAAATCTAAAGTAACTCTGCTGACTGCAGCTAGTTACCTACACATTTACACTGGTATAACTGAGAAGAGAATTTGCCCTAGACCTAAAGATTAATTATTTCTCCCAAGCTTCCAGTGCACGGGTTACATATAGTCAGGTACTCACGTGTGTCTGCTCTTAATTATAATCATAATTATTTATTTAGGCTACTCTGTATTATTCAAGAAATAAGATTAAATACAATGATACCTACAGCCACATCATTTTGGATGAATTTTAAACAATTATGAAATTCCTGGGAACTTTTAAAAGAATCATTTCAACACACACATTTGCCAGCAGATGCTCATTAGACACACATCAAAAAACCACAAATGAAAAGTCTGCAGAAAGTCCTCCTGCAAAAAATGATCAGTTTGTGTTGTGCTGGTGCTCTCAGAGCATGAAGAGCCCATCTGTGCAATTATGCCAGCCTAGTATTTGATTCAGTTACTATCAGTGTCACTGACAGTAAGTTTGTTTTTTGTTTCCTTCAGTGATGTCTCTAGGTCAAAATGTCAAGCACTGTGGTATGTTCCACCTCTGAATCAAGAACAGGAAATGAGGATTGTTCCCGTCATCGTCATGGAGTATTATATAGTTTGTAACCCTATATGGTCTGGGTCCTGGCTGTCTGAGAGATGTACCAATGAGATCGCCTGAGATAACTCTGCTAGCAGTCTATAGATTTGAAGGCTGAGACTTGATTTCAATGGAGCTATAATAATTTACACCCCTCAAGTTCTGCCCTGGAAACTATAAACTCTCTGTATTTCCCAATCTTCATGTATGTCTCCCCAGTTCCCATACACAAACACCTTATATGCCTCCCCTGGTTCTTTGTACCCCCTTCCAGGTCCATCTCCCTTGCCCACATTCCTTGCTCTCCTTTCCTATGCTCCTGGGGTCCCCTGCCCATATTGCAACCCTCCTGCCATTCCACATCAGCACGCTGCCCTCCTCCAATGCATCGCCTCCTTTGGCTTCCTTCAGAGCCTACCCATACTAAGGCTGGGAGCATGGCTCCGTGCCACCCTTCTATGTCTCTCTGATTCTCTATTCTCAGTCCAGGTCCCCCAAATCCCCTCCCCTTTATTCCCCTTCCCAAATTCTTGTCCCAATACATTTTCTCTGGTCCCCTGCCCCCCAATCCGTTCCCCACTTTTGCCCCAGCTGAGTCAAGCAGCTGGAGTTAAACTGACCTCCTTCTATATTATAAACAGTTCTATTACTGGCCTTGCACTTTAGACACATTACAATCCCTTTTTATTAAAGGCTCATCTCTTCAGCAAAGCCAACAAACAAATGTGGAGCTTCTAGATCAGTGGTTCTCAACCAGGGGTACATGTATCCTCTGGGAGTATGCAGAGGTTTTACGAGGGGTGGGGTACATCAACTCATCTAGATACTTGCCTAGTTTTACAACAGGCTACCTAAAAAGCACTAGCGAAGTCAGTAGAAACTAACATTTCATACTGACAATGACTTTATATTGCTCTATATACTATAGACTGAAATGTAAGTACAATATTTATATTCCAATTGATGTATTTTATAATGATATGGTAAAAATGAGAAAGTAAGCAATTTGTCGGTAATAGTGGCTGTGACACGTTTGCATTTTTATGTCTGATATTGTAAGCAAGTACTTTTTAAGTAAGGTAAAACTTTGGGGTATGCAAGACAAATCAGACTCCTGAAAGGGGTACAGTAGTCTGGAAAGGTTCAGAGCTACTGGACTAGATCACACCAGTCAGGAAATATAATAACCCTAAAAAAAGCACCATAAAAAAGTAAACTCCAGCTAAATTTTCAGACTACCATGGCTAGGTCCAAGAGTCTGTCCTTTTGTGCCAGGCACAGCTCAGGTGTCAGGGAAGGGGAAGGGGCACAAGTGGCTAGAAAATACCTTTGTTCCACACCAATCCTAGGACCATTGATGACTGAAAGATGCTTGCTGGGCTAGCTGCCCATGGCTCCCAAGGACCATTCCAGCAGCTGAGGCACATCACCAGGGCACACAACAGCCTTAGCCATGTCCCCTTATCTCTGGGTATGCTTACTGCACAAGGTCCTGGGGTGGGTAGCATATGAACCCTTATGGTGACTCTAACACTTCCACTGATCGTATCCATCAGCTTTAGAGAAGTATGATACTACATAGCCACCCAAAGCTGATTGTACAGGGAGAGTTGTGGGGGTATATCTGTCCAGAAAATGACAGGAAGCCTGAGTCATAAACATGACCTTTCTATAAATTGCAAGCATGGTCCTAAAATGGGGGAGGGAGGAATAGCACCTCCTCCAGTTTTAACATTTTTTTTAAACACACCTACATTTTATTACATTTTGATGCATGTTAGAATAACATTCACAAACACATATACAAAGTGAGTAGGTAAGTGTCTGCAAAAACCCTAACCATTACTGGAATGTGTATGCATAATGAATAATAATCCCAATTATTAAACTTGGATTACAACTTCAAATGGGCCTCCAAAAATGCACCCAAAATGTGCAGGCACATATGCCTGTGTGCACAAATCCAGCTATTTTCTTGAGGCACTCTTATTGGAAAGTGAAGTGACAGATCCTTAGATTCCTTGCAGGGGCGGAAAAAGAGCCTTACAAAGGAATAACATGGCACAGCTATCTATTTTAGTACTTACACTGTAGTATCTCACCTCTTTACCATCTTTAATGTATTTTATCCTCACAACACCAAAGCGCTATCATCTCTATTTTACAGATGTAGAACTGTGGCACAGAGAAGTTAAATGATACAGGCCACACAGGAAGTGTGTGGGAAAGCAGAGAATTGAAACTGCATTTCCCTAGTCTCAGGCTTATGCCCTTACCATTCAGTTGTCCTTTCCCTTTCTTGTGGCACAATTTGGTGATATTTTTATGAGTTAGACATTTTCATCCAAGTATGTTTTGACACGGATTTTGAGACACAGTATTCTGATTCAGCTTGAGGGTAGTTTGATACAATGCTATTTGGAGACAATTGCATTTTGGTTTAGCATCAGGATGAAAGAACCATTCTGACACAACATGAAGATATCTTGAAATGGATTATCACACTTCAGTGATTGAATCATAGAAGATTAGAGTTGGAAGAGACCTCAGGAGGTCATCTAGTCCAACCTCCTGCTCAAAGCAGGACCAACCCCAACTAAATCATCCCACCCAGGGCTTTGTCAAGCCAGGATAACATCGAGATAATTTCAATGGTGCTTCCGAACCAATCACTGCATCAAAACAGCACCATGATCAGACAAAAATGACACTTGGCCACGCTTCCAGGCACACAGAGTTTCGGTATCATTGAATCGGATCACAGCATAAGGCGACCTGCCGATGCAGAGATGTTTCTTTAGGCAGCACTACACGTAGACGCGGTGTGAGGACCCAGCACGCTGGCACGGCTGCACAATCACACCATCCGCTGACGCAGCGTTGCTTGCCAGCACTTGCAAGGGTAGGGTGAGGCTGAAGATATTGAGTGTTTTCTTACAACCCCAGCTCCTGGAGCCACGTGATTACACCACGAGCTCGACTGCCATTGAGAAGAGTTAAGTCCGTCCCCCTCCCCCTACAGTTGGCGGCTGTGGTCAGCGCGTCGCTTGGGACCGTGGCGTGGCTGTACTGACGTGTCACTCACTGGACGGGAATAATAGTAACCGCGGCGGCTGTTAGGAAAGCTCGGGATTCCCGGGGGTGCGGGGGGGGGCAATTTCAGATTTGGGGGCTGGCGACACCAGCGACGCGATGACCCAGCACGATGCCATGGCAACCGCGTGAGGCCACAGCACACTGGCATGACGCGGTGGCTGCTCTCTACATTCCTCCCCACAAGGCGCTCCCGGGGGAGGGCGGTGGCTCTCGTATTACGGGACGGACAGGTCCCACTCGTCACGTGACACCACCCCCCCCCCTGGGGTCACGTGAGCTGTGCCTGTACCTTTTCCGTCACGGTTAAACCTCACCCTCCTCGTCCCGCCCCTTCTCTCACCATAGAGTTGCCTAGAGCGCCGCCGCTGGCAGAACCCGGAAGCAGGAGGCGCACTGCGCAGCCGCTCCCGACCCTAAGCGCTGTGGAGGACTCAGGAAGAAGGGGCGGGGCCGGGGCGGAGCGAGCGGCACGATGGCGGAAGTGGAGTGAGTTGATTCTCTGTAGGGCGCTGTGGGACGAGGGGAGAGTTTGCAGGACGGGGGGACCAGGCCCTCTCCCCAGCGGGGCGGGAATACGGGGGCGGGAGGCCGAGCCCCTCATTTCAGGCCCAGCCCCAGGCCAGGGGCTCTCGCTGTGGGGGAGGGGCAGTGGTAGCCACCCCCGTAGCTCCATTGCCCTGGCTTATCCAGTGAGTGTATAACTGCTGTGTGCCCCCCTCCCCCCGCCCAAGGGGCCCTGACATCGCTACTGGGCCCCTTGTGAAACGGGGCCACCGGCCCGGCCACAGGAATCGCAAGGCCCTCTCCCCCGTGAAATGGGTCTGCCCAGTGCAACCACTGCGAGCCCCTCTGGGGGGAGGGATAGCTCAGTGGTTTGAGCATTGGCCTGTTAAACCCAGCGTTGTGAGTTCAATTCTTGAGGCGGCCATTTAGGGATCTGGGGCAGAAATCTGTCTGGGGATGGGCCCTGCTTTGAGCAGGGGGTTGGACTAGATGACGGCCTGAGGTACCTTCCAACCCTGGTATTCTATGAAACGGGGCTGTCTGGTCCCGCTGCCACATTTGTACAGGCATAACAAGCCCCTCCCCAGCACACATGCACTGATGCGCAAATTAACCAAGAGGCAACTCTGTGAGGCTCATCTGAGCAGGATGGGGCTTGCCCCTTCCCTTGGGTTGTGAGTGAGCCAGCCTGCCCTGGCAGGTATGTTTGTCTTACAGTTGAGGTTTGGCATGATGCAAGCCCCATGGATAGGACATGCACAGTCAAATGATGGCCAGGCAGTACTGGTGCACTGGGGTGTAGCAGAGTGGTTTATCTTTAAAGGTGGGAAGGCTTAAGTACCATTAAGTGAATCATAGGCGCATCTCAGTTTTAACATGGTAACAAGGCAAAGAATGGTCATCAAATGTCCTGATGCAGTATTTAATGTATAGGGGAAGGGTCCCTCAAAATATTGCCACTTTGCCTGGTACAGTAGTGTGCAAATGCAATACCATGGCACCTCCATGGAGATTACAGTAGATTTGTTGCACTGGACAAACTAAACAAAATAAGTCCCTGTCCACACTGCACACCTTCCATTCATCTGTGTGCTAAATCCCAGCTCCAATACAAAGTATTCTTTGCACACAGTGAGTGAAAGAATTCAGCAATAAATTATTCCACGAGCCTGAAATCCTAGTACTTGCACGTGGGCCCATTATTGGGGACCACTTCTTTAAGGCAGCTGCACATGATTATCATTAATTCTGTTGCCAAGATAACTTGTTGATGAGTTTTGTTTTTAATCTTTCAGTAGTTTTGTGCTTCCCCCTGACCGACCTCCCCCACAATGTCCAGCTTTTGCTAAGTCTAATCATGTTCTGTTTTGCCCTGACAGGTTCTCAAATGCTACCCATGAAGTCCTCAATGTCACCCTCCGCACCACGCTGTCCGTTACTACTAAACTGGTGGTTCCTACACCTGCCAAACCTATCCTTCCAGTGCAGACTGGAGTCCAAGCTCAGCAAGAGGAGCAATCTAGTGGCATGACTATATTCTTTAGTCTCCTTGTATTAGGTGAATGCTGAACTGAAAAATCTCTTATTGTTCACTGTTGAGTTTGTATTATGTCTGAAACATTTGTAAGATGCATGAGTCCTGGGGATACTTTTTTAGTATGGTGCTGTATTTCTCCTACAAACCCCTAGCCATGAAAGTTTGTCATATCGACCCAGGTTTTTAGAAAAGTTGGATATGCAATTACGTGTTCAAAAAGGTGAGCTTGTGGAACTGAGTGACTGTGGAATAAACTCCTGAGGGAACTAAGGACCCTCACAGACCTCACCACCTTCTGCTCCAAGTGCAAGGCATGTTTCTTTGCCCTTGTCTTTAATATAAACACAGAGCAGTGTGTGTGTGTGTGTCCTACCAAAACAAAATACTGCACTATGCACAGTTTTTCCCTTGAGAGGATGAGCGAACACATGAGAGACTTTAGTCACGTCGCTTAAAGCACTGCTGGAAGGCGCTCAGCGATGGTGAAGAGTGCGGTGTAAGAACCTGTATAGAATTTGCATGCGCAGTTACCGTAATTATACATAAATTAGGTAACTATAGTGAAAATTGCCACAGTTTTCCATAGGCATGTACACTTACCCAATTTGAACACTAATTTGTGATAATTGCACAGATATTTTGCACATACAGTTGCACACTCAATTTTTCTGAAAATCTGGGCCATCAGTAAGTCTGTCTGTTTACATTATACAACTTTTTGATAAACAGTGTTAATTGATATCTATCTAGTGCAGGGGTGGGCAAACTACAGCCCGCGGGCCACATCCGGCCCGCGGGACAGTCCTGTTCAGCCCCCGAGCACCTGGCCCGGGAGGCTCACCCGGCCCTTCCCCTGCTGTCCCCACTCCCCCACAGCCTCGGCTCTCTCGCTCCGCTGCCAGCGCAATGGTCTGGGGGGCGGGGCTGTGAGCTCCTGGGGCAGCGCAGCTGCAGAGCCCGGCCTGACCCGGTGCTCTGTGCAGCGTTGTGGTGGCGGCGGCGGCAGAGTGGCCCGGCTCCAGCCGGGCAGTGCGGCTGTAGCGCCGCCAGCCACTGGTGCTCCAGGCAGTGCGGTAAGGGGGCAGGGGAGTTTGGGGTGGTGGTCAGGGGGCCGGGGTGTGGATGGTGGTCAGGGGGGAAATGGGGTTGAATGGGGGCAGGGGTCCCGGGGGGCAGTCAGGAAGGAGGGGGGTGGATGGGGCAGTGGGGGGCAGTCAGGGGCAGGGGTTCCGGGGAGAGTCAGGGGACAGGGAGAAGGGGTGGTTGGATGGGGCAGGGGTTCCAGAGGGGGCGGGGGGCGGTCAGGAATGAGAGGAGGGATTGGATGAGGCGGCGGGGGTCCGGGGGCAGTCGGGACAGGGAGTGGTGGTGTGTGGATGGGACAGGGGTTCCAGAGGGGCCGTCAGGGAACAGGGCGGGTTGGATGGGGCAGGAGTCCCGGGGGGGGGGGATGGCACATAGGAGGTGAGGGCCGGGCCACGACCCCCTACCCTAACCGGCCCTCCATACAATTTATGAAACCTGATGCGGCCCTCAGGCCAAAAAGTTTGCCTGCCCCGATCTAGTGTAAACTATACGGTAGTCAAAACTGTAACAACACAATTTCAGTAGCGTGTTTAAGGGTTTTGTCCTACCTCTTGCTGTATGAAATACAAGCAAAGTGGGGGACCTATAAACAAACCACAATAAGAGATCCTTTCTGAAGAAGTATGTAATATTACTTGCTTGGTTCTTCAATATCTTCTAGATCAGGGGTCGGCAACCTCTGGCAAGCGGCTCGCTAGGGTAAGCACCCTGGCGGGCCGGGCTAGTTTATTTACCTGCTGACGCGGCAGGTTCGGCTGATCGCGGCCCCCACTGGCCGCGGTTCGCCGTCCCAGGCCAATAGGGGCGGCAGGAAGCCGCGGCCAGCACATCCCTCGCCCGCGCCGCTTCCCGCCACCCCTATTGGCCTTACCCTAGCGAGCCGTGTGCCAGAGGTTGCCGACCCCTGTTCTAGATGATCACTGTTTGCAGTGTTGATATGTGGTTTGTGTCACAATCTGGCAAACTCAGTAGGAAAGCATGTGTGTATTTGTCATAACAGCAAATTTTATAAGTCCACTTGGATAAAATCCTACCTGTGTCACCCTCTTTGAAGTATATTTTATTAAATGCAACAAAGAGAAAACCCAGTCCTTTAGATATATGCACATCTCCCTCTGATGTTCTCCCTGTGACCAATACCAAAGTGATATTTGAGTAGGTATTAAAGAAAAATCAAAACAAAATGCAATAGATCAGAAAAAACATGAAGTTTAAAAGAAAAATTCTGAGTGTGTGTGTCAATTGGAATTTAAAAGGCTTATTCATGGTAAAGTTTCTGCATCTTTTCCTAGGGCTAAAGAGTAGGGCCACAATTCTTGGCTACATTCCAGCCCCGTTACACCACTCCAGCAGCATAATGGATCTTGGACGCGGCTGAATTTCCCTTTCCTCCCTCTTTTCCCCCTCCCCCCAGCAAAGGCGAGTTTCTAGAGCAGTGGATAGCCAGTATAAGAGCTCTGTGCTGCCCCATTCATAGCATCTGACAGAGAGTGTGGTGGGGATGAAGGAGGGTGTGGCCAGAGTGCTCTGGGCTTTGACTGTTTTGGATTGTAAAGTAGCCCCTAGACAGCTATGGGAAGCTGCCCTAAATTAGAGTAGCCGAAGGAGCTGCTTTACTTTAGGGCTGGATAGGTTCCCATCTAAGCCCAAAATTCAGCAGGCCAGAAGTGACACTGCTTAGTCTCTGGCCCCAGGTTTCTGCAGTCTGCTTATCTATTAAGACAAACCCCAGTTTAACTTCAGTACCTTGTTTGGCCAAAAGGGCCTATCTTTGTAACACTTCTTTCCATTTTATACAGCATCCTAGTAGATAAACGTGGCCCGCAAGCTCCCCTGACCTGTGTTACGGGCCCTTAATCTTCTTTGCCTTCCTTGTGTGACACTCAAACCCTCCACGAAACCATTTGAAGCATTTTCTTGTCAATCTCTTGACTGCTTCATGTCATGCCCATAGAAGAGGGTGTGGGCAGAGCAGATTAAATAGTCAATTACCAACTGGACAAACTATTGCCAAGAGAATAGGTATCAAATAGCTATGGAATTAGATGGGCAACCAACCTGCCACTCATTGTAATATCTGTACTGGTAGGAGTCCATTATCTGAGCCTACAGTTGCACCACAGTATTTCTTTTTTGTTCAAAGAAATAGAATAGAAGTAGGAAGGTGCTGGCATTTGGATCTGCTAAACAGAAATTGTATTATTAATAAGGCAGTAGTAAGAGCTGTACATTCACAAAGTGCTATATAAACATTAATTAATCGTCCAAATTCCCTCGTGAGGTAGATATTATCCCCATTTTATAGATATGAAAACCGAGATGCAGAAGGTAAGTGATTTGCCCAGGGCCAACACTTGTCAACAGTACAGCTAGTATTACTGTATATATCAGGAGTCTCTGCTCAGTTCTCTAGTCTACCAGGCCTGTTACTTGTAAATTTACTAAATGCAAAGCACGCTGTGTGTGAGGTGCCTACCAATATGAGTATAACAATGTGCAGAATTCTGAACACAGTGGCATGACTTCCATTTCTGAACAGTATAGAGGGAAAGTCCTTTTCCGTGGGACAAAGGACAATAAGGGACAAGTTCACTCATGCTGTAGGTACTTGAAAATCATTATTTTCAGTGAGGCCATATTCCAAAGGAATAGCATATAAAATAAGTGATCTGCTTGAAAGCCACAATCAACTCTAGATCAGAAGCACATCAGATTGCCCCCTTGAACAAAGACAGTTCAGTGGTAGCTAGGGGGAGTTGCTAAAGCTTACCATTAGTAAGAGCAGTTCAGAGAAGCTTTTTAGTTCTTGAGTCAGAAACAGGTTTTGTTGCAGTCTAGTTGCAGGAGCCTTGTGGAGGCTGGAAACTGAATTAGCAAAAGACCCCCAAATGATTATTTGGCACAGTGAGGTAAGGGAATGAAGATAGCCTTAGTAATTCCTTTTCTGCTTTGTCACAATTAGCTTTATCAAATATCAAACAGAGTTTAAAGACACACTCTTGGGATTGACAGGTCCATAATTTGATCCATCCCCTGTTAATTTGTGTGTGTGTGTGTGTGTTTTTATATATATATATATATGTGTGTGTGAGTGTGTGTGTGTATACATTCCCCTTCCCCTCTGACTAATTCATCTTTTAATTATTTTAACCCATTTCTAGGAATCATTGAAATATTTGAACAACAGTTTATAATCTGATTACTTTCAGATTTATTTTTTACTAGGAAAGTTTCACAGTTTGTATTCATGGAACATTGTTTAGAAGAATGTCTTTTTCTGTCCTACCAGTTACGTATTTTAATACTGTTTTACTTCTTCCCCACAGCTATCTGCATCATATTGGTGCATTTACTGATAAAATACAGACTACATTTCTTGCCAGAGAGTGTGGCTGTTGTTTCTTTAGGTGAGTATTTCTGTGACCACACTTTTAATATTTTTGAAGAAAACTTGATTTATGTTATAATATTTTTGGATAAAAATAGGGTTTACATACTTTGGTGCCCTCTTTAACTGGTGTGACAATGCCTGAACTACTTACTGTGTTCACTTCTGCGCTGACTATTACTAGAAAGATGTAGGCACACTGGACATAGTTCAGAGAAGAGCTACAGGAATTCTAGGGATGGAGGGACTAATTTATGAAAGAGTTAAAGAGCTAAGCATGTGTTATGACCCTGCAAAGTGATACATGTGAGCAGACCCTTATGGCTGTGTGGAATCCTATTGAAATCAATTGGACTCCATGAGAGCACATTTACATGGACCACTTTGCAGGACTGGGGCACTTGCTTGATGTGTTTAGTGGGGAATCATGATAACGCTCTAAATATCTGAAGGTGCAAGCACTAAGTTGGGAGACTAAATATCTCGCATGGTAAAGAGGGTATAACTGGCATTAAATTAATAAAAGGAAACTGGAATGCTAAATATCATGAGAATCTTTCTGATAGTGAGATCCATTACTTTGGAATAGTTTCCCGTAGGAGGAAGTGGAAGCCCCATCTTCGAAATGATTTGAAAACTAGACTGGACAAAGCAAAATGTGTTACTTCAGGGAACAATCCTACACCAGTTGGGAAATGGACAGAATGACCTAATATGCTTTGCAGTGTTGTAGCTGTGTTGGACCCACCTTGTCATTTGTCATTCTTAACATCTGAGAGCCAGATTTTCAAAAGAACCCTGTTCCTATTTAGGCATCTAAATGAAGTGACTAGATTTTCAAAAGTGCTCAGCACCCAGCAGCTCCCATTGTTCTTCATCAGCTGATGAATGTGATAAATCAGCCAGTAATCAAAAAGAAAAAGGAATCATCACCCAGTGCTAGTGCTAACATTATAGAATCTTCAGGTCAGATTTTCAAAAGGGCTGAGCACTGCCCTCAGAGCTCAAATGAAATTGCTGGACACTGAGCGCTTCTGAAAATGTGGCCCTGGGATTCTGTAATTTTAACGCTAGTGCTGGGTGATGGTTCCATTTTCCTTTTTTATTATTCCTACCTGACTTATCACAGTCAGCTGATTGGAAACATGAAGATTGCTACTCTGCCTTTCAGAAGTTAAAATTGGAAGAGGGCAGGAAATCACAAGGCTCAGTGAACAAGCCAAGATTAAAAAGATAAACTGGCCAGTAAGGTCAAATGACAGGATGTTGCTAGTATGCCATATTTCCTTACAGAGTGCTTTATCTTGCTGTCTAGATTTTGAGACCCTGATTCAGGAGAGAACTTAAGGATGTGCATAAGTCCATCCCTGGACAGGAAAGCACTTCAATATGTGCTTAAATCCCATTGACTTCAAAGGTGGACCTGAGTGAGGTGTAATTCTTTGCAAAACTGGGATGCATCTAGGAGGAGGGGAATACTTAACCAACTTCCTCTCGCTCATGCATCCTCATTAGCCTGGGGTAAGATACAATGGTAGCACCTGCTACCATGAATCTTATCTCCATTTATGAGGTCAGTTTATTTTAATTGCAGAAGAAATTTATGTGTGGTACATGTGATTTAACCTACTCTGAGAATATAAATTTCACTAGTAGCCTGAAAACTTGCCTGGATTACTAGATACTGAACTGTCCCTATTGTACACATGGGCTCTTTCTATGACTTGAGGCAAGAGAATGCCACCCTTAATTCAGATCTAGCTCTTCGCCACTTCTTAGTAAGTCTGAAAAGTTCACGAGCCTGATTCTGCTCTCACAGTGGTTATACATTGGTATAACTACTGATTTCTGTGCAGTTACTCCTGATTTACAAATCTGTAAATGAGAAGAGAATCAGGACTCAAGTAGATATTATATTGTCTAGAGATCCCTATCACTGAAATAGAGTATTTTACTTCATAAGTCACCTCAGGCAGCAGCTTTTCAGCTGTCTCTGTAACTGCTTACCATAATCTTTGTGCAGTGGTGATATTTTTACTTCAGTCACTAGTGGCACTCACACTGTCAGTCTAAAAATACACCACAAAGGAAAAGATGCTTAGCTATAATACTAAACTAAGGGTATGTCTTCACTACCAGCCGGATCGGCGGGCAGCGATCGATCCAGCAAGGATTGATTTATCGCGTCTAGTGTAGACACGATAAATTGACCCCCGAGCGCTCTCCCGTCGCCTCCTGTACTCCAGCTCGGCGAGAGGCGCAGGCAGAGTCAACGGGGGAGCGGCAGCAGTCGACTCACCGCGGTGAAGACACCACTGTAAGTCGATCTAAGTGTGTCGACTTCAGCTATGTTATTCATGTGGCTGAAGTTGCGTAACTTAGATCAATCTCCCCCCATCCCCCCAGTGTAGACTAGGCCTAGGAGTGTAGTAGTGTCATACCTACTGAGCAAGTAGTTCTCATCTTTCTCCTGGACTTCTGCCTGCTGCATTTTCTGGTAGGTTAACTGTGTTTTCATACAAATTCTCAAAGTTCTCTCCATCAGATTACTGTGCTGGAGGAAACAAAGCCCTCCGGTGCTTGCAAAACCTTAGGGCTTTCACAGAAATAAGAATGTTGCAACCTTCTGGGTGTTGCGCCAAAAGGATCTGAATTCAAAGTCCTTTCTAAGTGGAAAGGAAATCAGATTCTCTCCTCCCCAAGCATAAGACGTATTGCAGTTGCTTTTTAGTTCACAGTACTTGATTCATGGCACATTACATTGCCCACAGCAAGATCTATATTAGGAAATCCTTTAGCTTAAAGGGACACTCATCTGAAAAAACATATTTGGGCACAGATTAGTCTCAAATTGAGAAGCAAACAGTTCATAGACTCCAAGGCCAGAAGGGATCACTGTGATCATCAAGTCTGACCTAGATAGATTTCTGGAACAGCGGTTCTCAAAGAGGGATCCGGGGCCCCTTGAGGTTGTGCAAGCAGGTTTCAGGGGGGTCCACCAAAATAAACCCAAGAGCAGGGCTGGCATTAGACTCCCTGGGGCCCAGGGCAGAAAGCCAAAGCCCAAATCCTGCCACCCAGAGTTAAAAGCTGAAGCCTGAGCAACTTAGCTTTGCAGGGCCCCCTGTGGTCCTGGGCCCTGGGGAATTGCCCTGCTTGCTAACCCTTAATGCTGGCCCTGGCTTTTAATTTACTGGGTATTCAGAAAAACAGTTGTTGTGGCACAGGTGGACCATGAAATTTTTATATGTTGGCGGGGGGGAGGGGGGCTCAGAAAGAAAAAGGTTGAGAACCTCTGCCCTAGGGCAGGGTTTCTCAATGACTGGTGCCGGTCTCTGAGATCTTCCTGACATAGTTTAGGAAGGCAGCAAGCCAGTCCCTAGTATCAAAATGATCGAAAGACACTGTTCTAGAAGACCAAGCATTTCCTGCTGTATCTAGATTTATTCCAGCAAGAGGCAGATTATCTGTGTTTATCTAATTTAGACTGTAAGATCTTTAGGGTAGGGTAGTATCTTTTCATGTTCTGTAAAATGCCTTACATATTTCAGAAAATCTGTTTCTTTTTCCATTACTTGGTGAGGTGGTTTAGAGCAATGATGTACACACACTTTAGTGGGAATGTGGTATTTTGCTTCGACTGCAGTAAAACCAAAAGAAAATATGATATATGATGGGGTTAGAAAAGCAGCTGACAGGAAACAGGGATACATCAAACATTGACTATGACCCCTTAGGGTAATTTTCCTTTTGCATCAAGCATCAACATGAGGCTTAATAATGCTTCATTGTGAAATTATGGAATGAGATTAAATTGTTGATATTCGGTGCTTGTTAATAAGTAAATTTGCCTAATAACTATTTCCTGAATGTTTTACATTATCTGTGCTACTTGAAGAGGCACATACATTCTGGGCCAAATTCTGCTTTCAGTTACTTTACTCAAGTCAGTTGGAGTTACGGACAGTAGAATTTGGCCCAGCATGTGCAGTGTTCCCTCAGAAACTGAGTGACTTTATCATTAGGGCAAATATATTAATAGAAGTCATTGTTAGAAAGGGAGACTGCCAAAATATCTCCTTTGTGCTTTCCATATCAGAGCTTCAGTGTAGTGTTAGTCTGTTGGAGGGACAGAAGAGGATATCACCATCCCTCTTTCCCGCACCGCGCACACAACTTCTGATGAAAGGGTAGGCGTTTCGTTTGGCTCCTAATCCAGTCAGCTATCACTGTGATTTAGGTAAACTCAGATGCAATCTCCATCCTGAAATGTAACTATTCACTGATGGCTCCTGCCGGTTCGGTTTTGGCCTCTGACTCTTGGCTTATTTGAAGATTCCGCCCCTAGGGCTTCACAAACAACAGAGTTTTACTGATATGAGAAACTAAGTCAGTGTTGCTTTACTACTCCTTCTGGGGAACACTGCGCAGGAACAGCAGAGGCTCTCTCTCTCCCTTCTGCAGAGCATTCACAGCAGCAGTGGAGGACTGTGGCTAGGCCACTGTGGTCTGTACTCCTGCTCATAGCACAACCCCAATAGAGACTGCAGTGAAACTTTCTAAGATCTCTAACTAAGTAAGGCTGCTACTGCAGCTCAGGGTTTGTAATAGGTAGTGGTGGTCACAGCAAAGGCATCTAAAGATGTTTCCAAATTGGATGGAGTATAAGATTGTGGGGGAGGGATAGCTCAGTGGCTTGAGCATTGGCCTGCTAAACGCCAGGGTTGTGAGTTCAATCCTTGAGGGGGCCATTTAGGGATCTAGGGCAAAAATCTGTCTGGGGATGGGTCCTGCTTTGAGCAGGGGGTTGGACTAGATGACCTCCTGAGGTCCCTTCCAACCCTGATACTCTATGATTGTCATGGGCTCACAGGCCCCATGCTCTCTTGGCTCCCTATGATCCCTGGGAGGAACCCCCATGAATGTGACAGCCTTTCTTATGGGTCACACTCACTCTTGTGGTTAAGCTCTGGGCTCCACCTCCTTCCAGAACTGCACCTCTCTGAGCCTTCAGCATCC